CTTTCTTTACCTAACTTGTATAATAAAGGCCATCATTTTTGGGGAAAAAAAAAAGAATCACAAGTCAGTGTTATATCCCTGATTATTCTATTGTTAAGAACTGGAGAGAAAGAATAGCTTCAATTAAGTATTTAAAAAGAAAACTGAATAGAATTAAATTTATGAATACAGCTAAAAATAGAGTAGATGTTTCTGGGGGGACATTTTTGCTCCACCGAGGGTAAGTCTCCATGAGAATGGCTGCTTTTAATTTGCATACAGTTTTATAGATGTGTAAACAAAATGACAAGATCTGTAACTTAAACTGAAACTCAAAAAAAAGCTAAGTTTTAAAATTTCAGATTCTAATAAATCTTCTTTTTGAGGACAAAGTTGCCTTTGGGCATTAAGAATATCCAGTGTCAGGGAGAACAGACAGTTCTTTTGCCCAAGTGAAGACCCCAAAGTACTACACTGAGTTCTGTCATCACTGTTCAGGGCACACAGTGGCTTGATGCTGCTGCTTTAAAACTTTTCAGGTTCAAACTATGGTGCCATTCTCCACTGGCCATTTACAACTCCATTTTCATTTCTCGTCTTTTCAAATCTTGTGTATTTTTTTTTTCTTTTTTTTTTTTTTTTAAAGATTTATTTATTTATTCATACAGAACTGGGGTACAGGCCAGAGGCTCAGGGGCGGTGAGAGGCTTCACCAGAGACAGAGTGGGGAGCAGAACAGGCAGATCGACGAAGTACACTGCTGAGGGAAGCAGCGGGCGGTCCAGGAGAGGTCTGGCCCGCCATGTGGTCTCCTCCGCAGCAGGCGGGAATCGAACTCATGCGGAAGTGGCTTCAGATTCTCAGTGCTGTGCTTTAACCCGCTGCGCCACCAGGGAGGGCCTCAAATCTTGTGTATTTTTAAGGAAAAATTTGGCTATTTTCTAGGGTGCCTTTCTGGGCCAGATGTAGGAGGAGGTGAGATGTTTTTCTTAATACCATTCAATTCTTCTGAAAAAGACGATGTTTCCTCCCCAGGTCTGTTAGGAAGAGACTCTACTCTCACTCAGAGACAGGGCAGTTTTCCTCTCAGTTCTAAACACAAAGTATGATCTCAAACTCACCTCACACCATGATTTATCTCAAGTTTGTTTGAGAGACACACCACCTATGAAGGGATGTCCATGTCACCTTTGGGTGAACCAGGCTATCAGCACACTACATACAGGGAGTACACCTGTGATCTGAACAGCTTTAAGATGTCAAAATGATAAAAATAACTTGTGTTAATCATAGTTTATATTTATTGAGGGCTTAAAATATGATATTCTCAATTTTCCCAGTTGCAGAAGAGGGATGTATGTTTCACTTTTACAGATAAAGAAACAAAGGCACAGAGAATTGAAGTAGTTTGTCCAAGATAAGTTGGAATTTGAACTCAAGCTCTTAGCCATTTGACACTACACTTCTGACTTTGACTGAATGCCACTGTTATAAACAAAGGTATTGTTCAAGATGTAGCATTGTAAGTATCCTCCTTATTTTATGCTTTATCTTATTTTTCCCTCTCCAATTTACTTTAATTTATATTATTGTATCAAATGTACTTTTACATATAAGAAATTATACTTGGAGCAGTTAGGAGTACATATAGGCAAATAAAAAATAAACAAACCAATAAATCATGTAAATTCACAAATTAACTGAATGGTGATTTAGAAATGCAAAGAGGATTTGTTTTTCATAAAATCATATAAGTGAACACTATCAAATAGAAATATAATAGGAACACATATAGAAATTAAGTTAAAATTTTCTAGTCACCACATAAAAAAATAAAAGAGGTCAAACTAAGTTTTATATATTTAATCCATAATATTGCAAATATAATTCCTACATGTCAATATTACAAAATTGTTAATAAGATATGCCATATTTTCCCCTCTATGCCTCTGAAATTCAGCATGGATTTTCCCCACGGACACACCTCAGTATAGAGTAGCCATATTTTTAGTGATCGTTGGCCACACTGGGATAGAAAGTACCAGACAGGGCAGTGCACAGGTGAATGGGGAGAGAGTGTCTCACTGATTTATTTTGGTAGGAAACAAAAGTTTAAGGAATTCGAGACTTACCCCATGGCAAAGTCAGGATGAACACTTGGATTCCAGTTCTTTTTTCCAGGTGAATGCAAATTCACTTCTACCAAGGAGTGCCATCTTCTTTCCTGTCATTTCCCCACACCCCACCATTCAACTTCCTTTGAGTTACATATCTGCTTTCAGGGCTTTCCATTCAGTGACTGACCTGTTCCTTCAGAGCTCAAAACCAGACATTGGTCTAACCAATGCTTACATACTCTCTTACTTTACTTCCTGATGTGCACTTTAAGGGATGAACAAGTTCTGGTAAATGAATGTCTCCTGCTTTTGTTATCTGTGATGCTGCATATTTAAATCAGAATGTGCACTGAGCACATATTTGGAAAGACTAGATCCCAATCTATTTCTTTGTAGGTTTTATTATTATTATTCTTTTTAAAGATTTATTTATTTATGCATACACAACTGGACTACAAAGCAGTGAGAGGACTCACCAGAGACAGAATGGGGTACAGAACAGGCAGATTGATGAAGTACACTGCTGAGTGGAGCAGTGGGTGGGTCAGGAGAGGTCTGCCCGGTCACCTCTGGGGCCGGGGATCGAACTAGTGCTAACTTGGTGTGGGGATTTGTGCTGCTGTGCTTTAGCCTGTTGCACCACTAGGGAGGGCCAGGTTTTATTATTATTTCAACCTCCTCTGTTTGTCTCTGTTGGTCAAGTATTTGGGTGTTTATGTCTCCATAAGGGATACAATAAAGGAAACCTTTACTCTTTGGGAATTAAAAAAATTAAAGCCAAGATCAAGTCCACATCTTGCCTTTTCAAAGCCTAGTAGCCTCAGGTTATAACTGATTAAAAGTTCATATCAAATTTTTACAACCTAGTAAGATTATTAACCCAATTTATGAATCATTCTCTCCTTTCACTGAGAAAGCCTGACAGGTGATGAGTTTATTCCCAATTCTTTTGCCCAACTGTAAAGAGAACCTGCAGCTGAGGTGCTTATCAACCACCTGCCTTCAGGGACCCTGCAGTGAAACCAACTTGAATGTATTAAGTGTCTACCGGGCAATAACTGTTCTGGAATATGTCTTATATGATTCGGGGCCTACTATCAATCTATGCAGAAGACTGGAGGTAGTCATTAGATTTGATTAGTGTTAACTCCTCACTGTGCACTGTGATAGCTGCTAGAATTAGTTTTTTCAAACATAAAAGTCCTCTTCTTGTTCCTCTTCATGTAATTATGTCAGTTGCATGAATTCCTTTTAGTTTTGTCAAAAATTCTACAGTAATTGTGAATAAATAAAATTATGATTTTAATTGTAACTTACTTTGTGACATCTGTATATGTGGAACTATATCTGTATATGTGGTGGCAGAAGCAGAAACTCCAGAGCTAACATATTAAAAAAATACAGTGCTAGCTAGGCAGCCAAGCTAGAAGCCCTCTGGCTGCTGGTTCAGCTACTGGCACCAGGAAGAGCTGAATAGTGTGTCAGTGACAGCCACCCTTGACTTTCCATGTTTTTGGCTATATTAAGGTGGGCTCTCACCAACAGAATCAATATTTTCTTGCATTTCACCTGGAATTTATATAAGAAAGTGCTCCTTTCAGGCTATCACTCAACCATCTTTGCAAAACTCCTTCCCTTCATGGCTTCTTTCCATCCATTTTAGGGTGGAGCCTATTTCATTAACTGCCTGTTGGATAACCCTGGGCAAATCAATTGAATTCTATGATGGTGAAGTACAGCATCAATAAAACATAGTGTCTGCCCTCTCACTCTTATTGTAAGAGTCAAATGAAGTAATAAATGCCACACTGCCTTGTAACCTGCCAATAATAATAGCAAACTGTTATCTTTATTATTAATTTTAAATACCCTGTATGTGCATTTAAAATGCTTTACATGAAAACTCACTTAATCTTTACACTAATACTATGAGGTAGGTACTAATTTCAGCATCATTTCCCAGATGACAAAAATAGAGGTTAGATAATTTGTCTAAGATTTTGGATTTAGGAAATATTTATTTGTATTTATTTATACATAGAAGAACTGGGTATAGGCCAGTGGTGTGGGAGTTGGGGGTAACATGATTCACAGATTCAAAGTGGGGACCAGAAGAGGTGCAACTACTGAAAATACATGCTGAGGGGGCAGGGGGCAAGACAGAAGAGGACTGCTGTGCCATGTGGGTTAGTTCCCATGTTGGGAATTGAACTCCAGCCTTAGCAGTGAGACTTAACTGCTAGGCCAGCAGGCAAGCCCTTGCCTAAGATTGTAAATGCAATAACTGGAAGGGCTGATTCAAACCTAGTCAGTCTGTAGGGCTCCAAGTTTACTTCCTCCTGGCAAACCTCAGCTTATAACATGTAATCTCAGAATAAATCTAGGAAAACTTGACATCATGCTGTACACAGCTCACTTCTCTCTAGGAAAGTTCTTTATTGAGCAGTAAACATATGGTCTGAAAAAAATGACTAAATAGTTCTATCTCACAAGAAATGGTGGTCTGTCTCCTATGCACATGGACTGAACAGTCTTGAAAGGCAGTAAGACTCTCAAATACAAAACTATACTTTTATATTTAACAAAAACAGAAGATACTGGTATAGTAGGTGGGCAGGCAAAAGAGTTGAGGTGTGTTTGACACATCACCTATATACATTTATGCTGTATTTAGATTAACATAGATTAAGGTTCACTTGACCATAATTCAGCAATTAAATCAGAGGATATGATCAAGGCTAGATGTAGGCTATAACTGAAGTAAATTGTAAATATTTTCTTTTATCTCAATTCTAGCTGTGCTACTTCAGCTCAAAGTTACAGAACACTGATTCTGGTTAATGATGGAAGGAGGAAGAATTTAGGCATAGAAATAAATCTGTGTTCTTAATCACCTACCCATACCTGTTACCTGAAGAAAATCTACTGACTTCTTTTTCTTTCCATTTCTTTACTTTGTTGGAATTCCTTCGCAAAGGTGCCCTATAACAATAGTGCACAGTCAGAGACAGGAAGTGACTATTTCTCCTTTCATGACAGGGGGCTTTGACAGGGGGCTTGCTTTTTAACTCATGAAGTACTTACCCCAGATCCACAAACTTCCGCTTAATTTTCCCTCCTTGCACCGCCAATGAACTGGATGCCCTTAGTGATTTGGGACCTTTGGCACCATCTAGGACATATACACATGTAAAAATTATTTTCTTTAAAGCCATGAGTCAAAAGTCAGTGCATCTTTGAGTCTAAGTATTTGCCTCAATTCTAACTGTAAAAGAAAATAGTAGATGTCTTATTTGTTTTTTAGAAGAATCCTTATTTACTTTAAAAAAAAAAAGATTTACTTATGCATACAGAACTGGGGTACAGGCCAGAGGTGCAGGGGCAGTGAGAGGATTCACCAGAGACAGAGTGGGGTGCAGGACAGGCAGATAGATGAAATACACTGCTGAGGAGAGCAGTGGATGAGTCATTCAGGATAGGTCTGCTGCGCCATGCGGGTCACCTCTGGGGCTGGGGATCGAACTCGCACTGAAGCAGCTGCAGCTCACTGGCAGTGCTGTACTTTAATTCGTTGTACCACCAGGGAGGGGCCGGATGTCTTATTTTTAAAAATAGAGGAAACATGGAATGGTGAATTAAGTCCATTAAGCCACAAGTGGTCCTACTAGACAGAGGCCTAACACTCACCCTGAAGTTTGAGCTTCAAATATAGTAATAAACAAAAATTAATGCTACCACATCATCCTTTACATTTAAACATAACTTCCCCTTTATTCCTTTTCTGGCTCTAACTCTTTGCTTCAAACACCTGGGTTCTGTTCTCTCTGTTTTTCTTGCCTTTGAGTTCTAGAGCATTCTGACAGTAAATAAGTTCACTGCCTTCCACACCCAAAGTCCTGTACAGAATATCATTCCTGAGAGTCAAGGAGAGTTTGGGAGAAAGTGTGAGCCCAAGTTTTCCCGGAGACCAGACAGTCTCTGCCTTGCTTAGGGCCTGTGGCAATTCTGGAAAAGGATGGGACTAGACGTGGGAGACAGTGCTTAAGCAGGAACTCGGCTGTAAAGTATTTCTATCTCTCTCAGAAGTAACTTGGATAGTCTCTTGTCATGTGGAGGATGCCAGATCTCCCCAGTGTTTGGAGCTGAATCATGTTTGCTTCTACAAGTGACGCTAACACTCTGCAGTACAGCAGCTGTCAGCAATGGGGCACTTGAAATGCATTTGGAGGAGAGGCTTTACGAATGGAGTTTAATGTCAAATGTAGGATACTAGATTCTACTACCGGCCCTATTCCATCTCAGATCAGGTAGATGACTACTAAAGCGCTACCTGGACCTATTTAGCAAAGGATGCCATTATTTTTTTAAGGATGCTATTATTTGAGACAACTAACAAAGATATTTTTAAATTTCACACTTTTGGTGTTTGTTGGCATCTCTCTTTTAAAAATTGTAAAAAATTCTAGCAACTTTATGGCATGGAGTATATATAACCATGGAGGATAGTTTTTGTTTATTTCAGGGGTAGTTTTTAAACACACATACTTACAACACATGAAGAGCACATACAGTTCTCACTTAACAGTCTATTTCAAAGGTCTAAAGAAGCATAGAATGATGACAAACACTCCAAGGATTTTTTTGTGAGGAGCTTTTCATATTTGTAGTTAAAGATAGATTACATTAACTTACAATAATCAAGTCCTTGAAATGTAGATAATAAAACACAAGAGCCAGAAATATTCCCATGTAAAAAAATCCATCTTTAGCGTCAAATATTTATTATGGACATTTGCATCATTACTCTTTGAGTAACTGAATTAAAAAGCTACAGATGTGACATATACACACCTAAAACAAAAAAATCCCCAGACATGGCAAATGCACTGTCTAAGGTGATTCTGCTAATGGACATTTAAGAAAAGCAGGATTACATTTTCTTAACAGAAGCAGAAGAAAAGAAAAATGCTGGGTTCTTCAAGATCAATCCTAAAGCATAAGGACTAGCACTGCGTAATTATTTTCTGAATTAGAGATAGCTAGGAGATGTTTTAATGAGTGGTGAGAGGAGAAGAGGAGACGATGAACATGGAAACACTCTGTAAGCTATTAATGTTGCAGTTATTTGGACATCTTAGGACTGAAACCTTGATTCTGCCTATCACAGAGCTGCTGCTAGGCAACTTCACATCATTATCTCACACCTTTGCCAAAGTGTGTTCCAAGGAACACTTGAATGCTTTCAAAAGACTGAAGAGGCAAGACTGAGTAATAATGCACTTTGCCATTTGAAATCAATCAAATACATCTTAATGCACATCAGAACTTCTAGTCTGTATAAAAACCAACAACGGATTGGTATGATTTTAGGAAAAAAGTGACATTTTGCTTGTTTATTTAGTTACTTAGCTGTATGCGATATTTCCATTAGGCTTTCTGAAATCTCTCCAATACTACCTTCACAAGCAATTAGAAGTCTAAGTCCTCAGGTTGAGTGCCTAAGTTTTAAGCTTTGGCAACCTGGTCTACATTTTTAGCAGTAGTAAGTGATCTCCTGATAGCTAAATACTAATGCTTTTTCCTGGACTGTACACTCCTTAATCTTGATGTAAAAAAGACTTGACTACCTCCTCCTTCGTTAAGAGGCCTCTGAAATCTACCACCCAGCCCTACCTTCTCTGCTGAGTTCAGGACCTCATCTATTTTTTTAAGGTAAGTTAACCATTTCCCACCCCAACCCCCAAATGTTTCTGATTTTCTGTTTTCTGTCAGTGACAAGACCATATTTTCTAAGGCTAGAAACCTAGCGATCCGTTTTGACTTACTCAGTATCTTTCTGCCCTCAGTATCTATTCAACATGTTTCATAGCTCTTGAATCATCCTTTCTTGTCACAGCCTCTTGTTCAGTTCACAGGTCTCCTACTTCATCTTTTACATGTCTAGTATCTTTTACTCTTTATTCCTCTGTTCAAACATTTTGTGGTTTCCTAGCAAGATGGTATGATAGCTAAAGTATTTAAACTTTAGAGCTAGACTTCATCGACTTGTTTGATTTTTATATGCAACAACTCTAACCTGCAAGCAGATTAAACACATTCCTTTATGTTCATCCTCTGTGGACTTGTCTCTGATGATGTAATCTCGCCTCTCATGCCTTCCTTTCCTATTTTCTTTTTTCAGCCCTTCAATGCATGTTCCCTGTTAAGTCTTGTTATGAGTCAGCTAAATATAATTTTGTCTTTGACTCAGTAATGGTAAAATTTACTATTTTTTAATTGACAGAAGCTTAATGCAACATATTAATAATATGTAAAATCTTGTAAAGATTTTGTAAAGTCAGTTTCTACTTGTCCAAAGTTAATTCAGTAAGTTTTTTTTTGATGGCATGTTCTGTGCCCATCCATGTACTAATATAATAACTACATGTAAAGCTAAGATAATGACCTCTAGAAACCAAGAGCAGAAAACTGATAGTGCTTAATTCTACATAATCTTGCTTGTGCAAAAAGTCCATTATGGTGTAATTCCAGAAACCAAACTTTAGCATTAGGTTACTCAAAGATTAGGCATGAGGAAAATGTTTTCATGCCTTTTATTACTATAATTTGTTTTTATAACCTCCTAGAAATAGGAACCTCCTGATTTTATCGAAAAGGAGTCTGATGTTTATCAGATAGCCAGTAAAAATTCTTTGTATACTGATTTCTACTGTGATCCCTCAAATATCAGACAAGATGATGACTCATAAAGCTGGTGTCAATGTGGTTTAGAAAATACAAAACTGCAAGTAGGTGTTCAATTAATACCACAGTAGCTTCCAGAGTAGCTGTATTTGCAATCAAACACAGCTATAACTTAATGATGACCTTTACAGCAATTTGATAGACCAACAGCAATGGCATACTATTTTCAGAAAATCTATATAAATGGTAGCAGTGACTGAGACTTTTTAAATTTATCTAGCAGTGGTGAGTGGAAAGGAATATGTCTAGAACAAGGGCCAGCAAGCTTTTTCTGTAAAAGTGCCAGACAGTAAATATTTTAGGTATGTGGGCCAAACAGTCTCCGTCACAACTACTCAACTTTGTCTCAGAGTATGAAAGGAGACAGTATGTAATTGCAGACTGTGGCTGAGTTCCAAAAAGACTTTATTTATAAAAACAGCTGGGGTTTGAATTTGGTTTTGATGGCCTCTGTTCTAAAAAAAATCTGCACTGGTTATCTGCAAAGACACACTTATTAATTCATCCAAGAACCTTATTAGGTTTCAATTATATGGTGTACTTTTTGCTGGGAACCAAGAATACAAAGATGAGTAAGATGAATGACAAAACTTCAGTTCATGTTTGTCAAAAAGATCACTTATTATCACATGCAAATTGACAGAAGCAGAAATTACAATGTGAACGTTTCTATCAAAGAGAAGAGAATGATTCCCTTTGCCTGGGAACAGGGTCCATTAGAAGAAGAAAGATTTAAGCTGAGATTTGAAGAAGTATCACATTTTTCGTGGAGAAGAGTATTAGACAAGAATATATAAATGTGGAATCTAGTTTGTACTTGCAAGTGTTGTTAAAGCTCCATTCTAGTTCCATTATTGATGCGTCAGTAAGTTATAAGAACCACACATATAAATACGCATACACAGAGGAGAATCAGTTTGACTCTACCTAACCCCTGTTGAGTTGAGGTTTGAATAGTGGATTAGTCTCTTACAAGAACAAACTCGTGGGTTTTACAGACTGTTATACTCCAAATTGGATTTTGAGGACAATAAAATGAGATGTTTTTATTTATACTGTATTAGCCTTCACAATATTAAAATAACAGAAGCATGGGATTTCCCTAATGTTTTAATGATACTGAGGTCCACTGTCCATTTCTTGAGAATTGAGTAGGTAGAATTCCCCCCCCCTTTTTTTTTTAACACATTTGCAATTTTTTTTTTGGTGTGGACTATTTTCAAACTTATTTATTAATTTTATGAGTTCCATTCTTTTTAAAAAATTTCTTACATCATTGTTCTTCCTACAGGTATAGGTAGAATTCTTGAGGGTCATGAAAAATGGGGCTGTTACAGTCAAATAGACAAATCACCAGTTAGTTCAATCTTACAAGTATATTTCTATATATACATTCAATCAACTCTGAACAACTTTCTGTTTTATGAA